ACACACATGTGTGTGTGTATAATTTTTTTCTGTGCAGAGAACTTCCTGGGTTCTAATTTTTTTTAAATAAATATATCAAAGCTCCTCAGTTGAAAACAATAAAATGATACAAGAGCTGGTTACAAACCTCTTTCCTCAGAAAGTCTTCAGTCCTAAGACCACTGAGCTGTAACCTTTAAGGTCATGTACACAGAGTACTCCTATTTAAATGAAAATGTTTGACCTGTAAGCAGAAAGCTTATGGATGTTGATTTTAGTCTCTATTTCAAAGAAGAGGATGAGGAGGAAGTTTTACTCAAGCAGCTCCTGAAGAACATTTGCACATAGTAAACTTTGTAAACAGGGCAATATTTTTATTGAGATCTTTTTGCACAGCCATGTTTTGCAGACAACCAGATTTTTTCTCCTCCCCCCCCTCCAAGAGGCCACCAACACGGTTAAAAAAATCTAAATAAAGTGACTAACTGTTGATGTTTGGAAGAAAAACTAAACTGAACTGTGTTTTAACTAGAATAATAATCATGTCTGATAAAATTGTTTGGGTTTATTATCTTGTATATTGTTGTGCTGCAATGTTGAGTTAACCCTTCTTCTTCTCAGCCCAGGAGTCAGGAGGTTCTCCCTGTCCCAGCTCATGTCCCGATCTAAACAAATCCCAGACCCTGAGCTCCCTTTCTGAGAGTGGAGCCGTGCTTGTGGAGGTCTGCTGCCTGCTTGTCTTAGCTGTTGATAATAAGGTATTTTACAGTAAGTAGGATTAGATTTAGAACTAACAGGAGACAGGATTGGAGGAATTAGGATCGAGTTGTACAATGTTGGCTTTGAACCACCTGAAGTAGCTAACTGTTATCAATTCACCGCAGAAAAGATTAGCATCAAATGACACAATAAAGAGCGTTGTTTGATGCTCTCATCAAGGTCTCCGAGAGATGATTTTAAACAAATTTACATGTCAGTTTAATTTAATATAAAATGCTTTCATTAACGTCTTTATCTTACAGGCTGCGGCAGAGGAGTTGTGCCTTCTCCTCAGCCAGGTCTTTCAAATAGTTTACACAGAATCAACCATCGACTTCTTAGACAGAGCCATTTTTGATGGAGCTACTACACCTACCAAGCATCTGTCTTTGTACAGCGGTAAGAAGACATGCAGTCAAAGGACAAATATTAGTTTATTTATTTCTCACTGTACTGCATTTTTTTACAGTGTACTTTGACATATTTGGAGTCTTGTGTTGATAAGCTGCTAAAGTAAAATTGTAAACTTGTCAATTTTCCAGATGACTCTTCAAGCAAAGTAGATGTCAAAGAGGCTTTTGAAGGAGAAACAAGCCCGTTGTAAGTCCAAGTGGATCATTAGATATTTATAGAAGCTCTAAAATTAGTTTAGTGTTACTTGTTAACAAAGGATGCTTTTATTTTTAGTCCTTTCAAGACACCAGAAGAGAACTCTTCCTCTGCATCCAGCCCTACATCTCCTCAGACAAAGCTGGCAATTGAGGGAGAGCTCAGCACCTCTGCTGCAGAGCTGCTGCAGGACTACATGACAACAGTACGGCCTCCTGCTCTTCTGTGTGTGTGTGTTTTTATGTTGGAGGTAAAAATAGTGATCTGTTTAACGCCCTTTTTATATTTTCTATTCGCTACCTAGTTGCGGACAAAGCTGTCATCTCAGGAGATTCAGCAGTTTGCCACTCTGCTCCACGAGTACAGGAACGGTGCCTCCGTTCACGAGTTCTGCATTAATCTGCGGCAGCTCTACGGGGACAGCAGGAAGTTCCTCCTCCTCGGTAAACTTCCTTAAATGTAAACGTTTGTAAAACTGAGACTAAAATGTAAATAAATAAAACAGAAGTTAAACTAAAAGTTGCTTTTGTTTTCCTAAAAATTAGGGCTGTCAAATGATTAATATTTTTAATCTGATTAATCCCGAAGTAGCTGTGAATTAATCATGATTAATCTTAAATTTAATATACATTTCTATTGCATATTGATAAAATGAATTACTTGAGTTTTTAATGTTTTTATTTAGAAAACAAAATTGAAGCTTAGACATGATTTTTTTTATATAAAACAGGACCAAAAAATGCTCCAAACATATTTGAGTCAGTTAAATTTTGTGCAGAATAAGGAGGTTAAATCAAGAATTCAAGGATTTTCATTTCAAATGAGTGAATGAAAGGTAGATACTAAGGTTACAGTTGTCAGCAAAACATAAATAAATAAAATAAAATAAGCCAWAAGAAGACAAAAAGAAAAAAATGAACATAATGTGTTACACATGGAGTTTTTTTTTATTTATTTTATTTATTTAACATTTATTTATCCAGGTAAACTGTTTGAGAACCACTTCTCATTTACAAACATGACCTGACACTGAGTGCATTGCAGTATACAAACCTCTTAAATTCAGCCATAGTAAAGTGATTGTAAATTTTAATCACGAATTTTTAATCTATGTCCATGCAGCACTGAAATTAATCAGTTAACTCGATTAATTTCACAGCCCTACTAAAAATAAATGTATTGTAGTTCAATTAAAGAGTCAAACTGATTAAGATGACTCACTAAAACTTGTAAAGATTTTTTTCTAAAAGCAAAGCTCAACAGATATGTCTAGTTGGCTTTAAAAAACCACTGATTTCAGGTCCTTAGGTGAGGACTTTAATGATGAAATGATTCCTCACCTCTAACTTTAGGTGAATCGGGTTTTTTCTGGAGGACCTGATCTGGTGGGCTTATAACGTAAAGTGGATCTGATAAGACCATGTACAACTTTAAAAAAAGAACCTTAATATCAATTAACACACAGTTGGCCAATGCAGGGACTTTATACACCTCTGCATATTTCGAAGTATTAAAAAAATAAAATAATGTTTAGGATTCATATATTGGTTGTAAGAGTTGTTTCTTGTCCCGGCAGGCCTGCGTCCCTTCATACCTGAGAAGGACAGCCAGCACTTTGAAAACTTCCTGGAGACCATCGGAGTGAAGGACGGCCGAGGCATCATCACAGACAGCTTCGGCCGGTGCAAACGCACGGCCAGCTCGGCCTCGGACTCCACCACCAACGGCAACGGAGCGACGGGAGGAGGCGGCGACAGCACGGACGAGGGCCGCGACGCCTCCGAGGGCGACGAGTGGGACCGCATGATCACCGACATCAGCAACGACATCGAAGCTCTGGGCTGCAGCATGGACCAGGAGGCGGTGACTCCCTGAGCCGGGACATCACCCCTCAGATAAGCGGATCAGATGAAGGTGGTCCACAGCACCAACCAAAGATCTGCTTCATTGTATTTTCCTCTAATTGTCAAGAGGACGTTCCATACTCCCTTTACACTCAAATCTTGTTACTATTGAGTCAACAAATGCACTTAAGCAGACATGGTTGGCATGCAGCTTGTTGACTTGGTTAGCATTTCACATGGATTCTTATCCCCTGATTTATTTTTATTTTTTTACAATAGTTTTATACTCCTTTATTGGCAGCATCTGCCAGTGCTATGTGTAATGTAGCAAAGCTCTCCAGTCGGAGCAACAGCCACTCTGGAGAACCTGTCAGTGGGCTCTGCAGTTTTAAAGACTCCCATTTGTTCTTTTGTAAGTCAGCTTCAAGCACATGGAAAAGTTTGATTTTCTTTGTTAATTTCACACCGTGTTGCTGTGAAAAGTGTAACAGTTAGTTCATGTATGATTCTCTCAGTAAGATTGGTGTTCTGCTTTGTTTATTATCATTTGTTAATCAGTGTTTATATTTTTGCCTCATTCAAACTGACCCAGAGAATGCTGTACATGTCGATTAACAGCCGAGTGCAGGTCCGTGTTGGACAGATCCAGTTTATGGATGGCTGACGTTCATTTATTTCGAGTCTTTTTAGTTATCGTTCAAGTTGTATGATGTGTGACGTCATGTTTGTTGTTGTGCCTTTACACTGCAGTACTGCTGCCAGCTGTCTGACACAGACAGCTCATCTGAAACTGTAACTACAGTTGAACAAATTATGGTTATTAAATAACAGAATATTTACACAAACTGTATGTTCGTATTGCAAAACTTGCACGCTTTGAGTTTGCATAAAACACTTAACTGTCAGCACACCTGGCTGCTGTGTCGTGTATTAGCTCGCAGTTTGAAGTGGAAATAACCTTCATTTAGTTTGACTTTAAAACGTCAAAAGCCTCCCTCAAAGAGACGATTTTAGAATCTAATTATGATCTCGTCATTTGCTTGGATGCACCTAAGCTGCCGTGGAACGTCAGTCAGAGTTTCATCAAAGCGATCCCGCTGGATGCTGCTGAATGCCTTCGGAGTTGGGGATTAAGTTTTTAAGAGTTTCGGGGACAGGAAATTGGCAGGACAGCTGTAGTTTGTCACATTCCTTTCTCTGCAAGATTTCACTGCAATTTTCTCACTATATTTTAAAAACTGTATTTGCCCAGTTTTACACGTTATGTGGATCACTGCCTGGCTGTGACTCATGTTATTTATTAAACTGGTGCAGAAAATTTGAAGGAAAATTGGGAAATGATTGCTACACCTTACTTTGAAATGTCTGGTTTGGAGAAAAAAAAGTTGCTTCAGGAGTTTAAAGGGGCAATATCATGTAAAATCAACTTTTTGAGTTTTATATCATGTTATAATGTTACACTCTCATAAAAAAAAACATGCCCAAAGCCTTGCTCTGACTCATTCATGCATGTTTGAGAAATCTGGCAGTTTTTTTAGGAAGCCATGCTGAGGAGCAAAACGACAGGTGGGGACCAGAAACGCCTTTTGGGACCAGAAACGTCTCTGGGACGTGTCTTTAAGCTGAACTTCCTCATGGCAGAGCGCAACCCCTCCCCCCTTCCCCACACACCCCGCCCATTTCTCCTGCAGGCTCTCCGGTGAAAGGGAAACCTAACTGTCTGC